CCCAGGTATGGGTTCCCTAGGACCCCAGGTCTGCTGGAGGAACATCGTCAGTCTTTAGGGGGTTGGGATGGGGTTGGATGCAGAAAAGGCCTCCCCATCTCCAAGCTTCTTGGGGGTGGCGGCCCGTGCATTCTTGACACTCTGCTGCCTCCCTGTGGCTGTGGGGCGGTGGCAGCCACACAGCTGTTGGGGGTGGTGTTGGGGTACGCAGCGCAGCTGGGGCTGAGGCAGAACACGGAGTTGATTCTTTTATCTGCCCTCAGGCCTATCCCTCAGATGTGGGTGCTACAAGAACATTAGAGGGGCCGGGATGCCCCCGGTGGTTATTGGCTTACAAAGAAAATGGGAGGTGGGTCCTAGTTTGTAAGCAGGAATGCAGGTACTGCGTGGGGGGAGGGGGGGTTGTCGCACCCACACAGGGTGGTGAGTCCCCAACAGCCACAGCCAGGTTGGCCCACAGAATCCTGGGGCCCAGCTTTATCACCGGAATAGCTGCCCAAGGGGCCTCCAGGAAGTGGGAAGGAGAAGCTAGCGTCTGCCCAGGCTGGCCTGCCGGCCCCCACAGTCTGCCCTGGCCCAGGCCCAGGCCCAGGCCCAGGCCCAGGCCCAGCAAGTGTCCAGGCTGAGGATCCTCAGGGGCTCTTGTCATCCAAGGTTCTCAGAGGTGGGGGTGCTTCAGGACCTTCAAGGTTTGACAGGAAGACAATGCCTTTTCCAGGGTAGGAACGGCAGGCCCTGCCCGAAGCCCTGAGGAAGGTCACAGTGGGTCTGCGGGCTTCAGCTGTGCCCTGCTCTCTCCCTCCGGCCCAGCAGACGGGTCTGTAAGCATGGCCGCAAGGCCCCTAATCAGAGGTGAGGGTGGGCTGCCAGGAAGGCGCACAGGCAGCCCCTACGCCGACATCCTTTCCGTGTCCTGCAGCAGAGCACCCACCACCTGGATGACCTGGGATGCTGGCCGCGCCGCGTCGTACTCCGCAAACAGGTGGCACACGTTCTCCTGGGCCTCCGTCTGGCTCTTGGCCACGAACCCAAAGATCCTGGTGGGGGACGGTGGGACCCAGGCTCAGGGGATGTGGGCGAGGAGCAGCAGCACTGTTTCCTGCCCTCCCCCCGCCTCTGACTCCGGCGCCTCCTCAGAACTGGGCTCCCTGAGGCTCCGCGGTGTTTCCTGTCAGATCGGAAGACCCCGGACTCCATTTTGGATGGAGACCCCCGTGGAGGATGGGACCTGTGCACCCCCAATGAAGTGATGTGCCCTGAGGACAAGGCTGGGCTGGGCTGGACGGGCAGACTAGGGCATCGCTGTAGACGAGGCTCCTTGAGACTGGAGGCCGGGCCTCTGTGCCCAACTGAAGCTTCCCAGCTCCTATCTCCCACTCAGACTGGAGGCTTCCTGAGGACATGAGCCTGGGCCTCCCCCATCAAATGATGTGCTCCTTAGAGAGGGTCCGTACCCGCCCCCACCCCCACCCTCTTCCTCTAATTCCCTCTTCTTGTTGGGCAGGGCCCTGGAACCTGGACCCCATTACAGCAACTGAGTGGATGGGAGGCAGCCTGGTGGGGAAGGCCTTACCAGGAGGGCTTGCAATACTTCTGCCACCTGTGGGAAAAGAAAGGGAGCGGGTCCAGCAGCCAGGCTTTGCTCTGCTCTGGGGGACAGCCTCCCCCACTGCCTCCCCCGCCCCCCAACAGCCTGCCCCCATCTTTCACCCCTGACCCCTTGGCATCCAAGGCTCTCTCTGTGACTTCCACCCCAAAGCCGGTCGTACTGTAGGAAAGCTTGGTGGGGCTGTGGGCGCGGGCGCCCGGGGCCTGTGTGGCCTGCTGAGTGGCCCGTCCTTGAACTTACTTCCGTTGCTCAGGGTCCATGCCACAGAAGCGGAGGGTGGTGAGGGGATAATGACGCCGGAAAAACACCCTGGGAGGAGGTGAGAGCCTGTCTCAGTGTCCTGCCCATCTCCCCTTCCCTCACCCCCATGTGTCTCTGACGCTCATACCACCCTGTCTTCCAGGAAGCCTCCCACCGGACCCCCGTCAGCCTGCGGGACCTTCCCCACGCCGGGCCCTGCTGCACACGCGTGTGCTTGTCTCCTGGCCCAGCGTGCCACTGCTGCATCTGACACGCCAAGCAGCTCTGCCTCTCGCCTATCTGCACTGGAAGGAATCCTGCTGGTTCTGCTTTGAGTCACCAGGTAGGAAGGGAGCGTGGGGACGACCGCAGTTGCAGGTCAAGTCCCCCAGGGGACCTGGGGATTTCAGTTTCTCAGGGCAGGAAGAGTGTGTGGGTCACCTTGCGCCTGCTGTCAAGTGCTCAGCCGTGGCCAGACTCCTGCCAGGCCGAGCCCCTGCACCCTGATCACCCGGCTCACACTGTCTCTGTGGCCATGCAGGGGTGTCATGATCGGGGAAGAGGCCATCTGTGCCCAGTGATCACTGGCTGAGTTTCCTCTCCATCAATCACAATCAAACGGGGGTAGGTCTTCAGAAGCAGGCCATTGAACTGAGGTCCAGAGAAGGCAGGGGGCTTACCAGAGTCACCCAGCACATGGCTGACCAAGTTGGGTTTAGGACCCCCAAGTCTTCCTCTAGCAAGGCCAGCCCCTCTGGCTCCACCCTGCCCAGCCCTGCATCCCGGGGAAGGCCTTACTTCCTCTGGACATCCGTCAGGGTGATGCCCTGCTCGGTGACTTTGAAGTGGACCACGGTGGGTGTGGGGAGGACGTCCCTCTCAAAGGTGGCTGAGATGGCCTTCTGCACTGCCATGGCTCCAGTCAGGGTCTCCACACCCACAGAGCTCAGGAACAGCGCGTGGCAGCCTGTGGGGTGGAAGGCTGTGCTGGGGCTGTGGCCAGGCTCCGGGGGGAACACACTCCTCCTTAGGAATCCCAAGGGCTCCCTTTACAGCCCCATGGCAGGGGGCCATCTCTAGGGGACTTGGGGGGGGGGTGTCCATAGCTTTCATTGCCCCTGCCCTGATCAGGAGAGGATGGTGCCCTGTGTAGAAGGCAAAGCTTCCTTCTGCCCTGGCCTGTGTACCTCCCTGCAAGGGCCTTGACCAGCTGTGGAGGGCACGGAGAGAAGACAGTAGGCAGAGTGGGCGCCTTTGTGTGCAAGGGGCACAGTAGGGCCCCTCCCTGAGAAGGGTGCTGATCTGTGGCCAGCCTCTCTGGGCATTGGGAAGGGGGACGTTTCCCAGGACTCAGACCTGACACCTCACAGAAGACTAGATGGTGCCACATGCAGGGCGGTTGCCTCAGGCCCCAGGAAGTCCTGGCCCCTAGCTCCATCCTATGTGTGCAGGATGGGCTGTGCATCTCGCCAAGCCCCACCCCTCTCCCAGAACAGCCCCTGCCTGCAGCCTTTCATCTCCCGCTCATGGAGAGGGGGAGGAGTGTGGCACCTTGTTAAAGATGCCACACTGAAAGGGGAGGGGACGCGTGTGGGTCTGGTGTGTGATGTGCGCAGCGCCCGGCACCTCCTCGCCCACTCACCCACAGCTGTCTTCAGACCGGAGGCCGGGCTGTCTGCAGTGAGGTCCCGGGCGGAGGCTCCACCTCCCAGTTCTGAAGCACAGGGAAGGAAGAGGGCCCCAGGGCGGGGTGGGTGAGTGGGCCCCCCTCCTGAATCTCATGGAATATCCCCGTGTCTGTTCTGCCTCTGGGAAGCATCTGGTCTGAGAAACCAGCTGTGAGGCAAGTAGGGGGCACTCAGGGCTCCCCTCAAACGGGGTTGGCAAAGCCTTTTGATCCCCTCCCTCTGCTTCCCCTGCCCTGACTATGAGCTTCTCTCCTGGGTCCCTGACCTCCCCACTTCTTTCAGAGCCTACCCAACCTCAGGCCTGCCTTGGTAGAAAGTAGGGAGGGTCCCCACATCACTCCCCTGTTCCTGACTGCATTTCCCACACCAGCCCCCTGTGTCTCAGCACACCCCAGAGATGACCTGCTCTATTTGGGAGCAGGGGTCCTGGGTTGCCCAGCCTGGCTTCCAGGTTTGGCTTTGGCCCGCCCTGGGGGTGCGCACCTTTGGGCAAGCAACCTCAAGCTTGAAGCCATTCTTTTCCTATCTGTGGAATGGGCACGGTAGTAGCTGCACTTATGCCACAGGATGGAGTGAGGCCGGAAGGCCCCACCACGTGGTCCTTGGGCAACGAATGAACGCTCCAAGGATATCTTTAAGACAGATATGTACGTAAGGTAACAGGTTCAGAAAGTGCTGTGGTTTAAGCATTGGGTGGCTAGCTGCAAGGTTGACAGTTCAAATCCACCAGCCACTCCGAAACAGATGAGGCAGTCTGCTTCCTAAGAGTCTCAGCCGTGGAGCCCCTCGGGGGCAGCACACCTGGTCCTACAGGTGCAGGGTGAGTCAGAACCCACTAGGAGGCAGTAGGTTTGTTTGGGGAGGGCTTGGTTCCATGCTTCCAAGAGAGCGCACATTGATATAACAGGAAAGGGCAAACATGAGTAGTCGGTAAGCAGGACGTTCCGAACCCAGGGACTTTGAGGAAGAGCTGGGCATGGAGAAAAACCAGCCAACCAACACGAGCCAATTAGCTTCCATCAAATTGGCGGTGACTAGTGGTGCCCCCATGTGCCTGAGCTGAATGTGCCCCTCAGGGTGTTCGGTGGCTGTGACCAACCGTTCAGTTGGGAGTCAGTGCTTAATCCTTTGTGCCACCCAGGGACTCCTGGGGGTGGGGGGGAACCCGTCTCTCCATCCAAAGAGGCTATTTTATGTTCCTTTCATCTTCTTAAAACAAACGTAACACGCTTCTGTGGAGTTAATTCCGACTCCTAGCCTCCCTGTGAGTTTCCGAGACTGGAACTGTTTACAGGAGCAGAAAGCCCCACCTTTCTCACATGCAGTGGCTGGTGGATTCCAACGGATGACCTTGCGCAAGGTTAGCAGCTCAACCTGAAACCTCTATGCCGCCAGGCCACCTGGGCCGGCAGCTCTAGGAGACGGTACATCTGGATGGGAGTAGAAAGCCTCATCTTTCTCCCAAGAAAGACTGCTGACCTTGGGGTTAGCAGCCCCATGCGCAAGCACCGCGCCACCAGGGCTCCTGAAAGCGGCGGATACTTATCAGACAAGGGCCTCGCCTGAGCAGCCTCCTTCACTCCCCATGCCGGTGCTGCGGGTGGATGCCTCCGTGATGGGTCATTTCACAGAGAGGAGACTGAGGCTCAGAGCAGCTAACCTTCTCAGAGCCTCACAGCCGGGGAGAGGAGCTGTGGATGACGGGTTCCGGAGCGGGCACTTGTCACACATCCATAACCCCCAGGGACCGTGAGAGGCCGTCACTAAGTACCTTTCCAGAGAGCATGGAGAGGCCCAGCACCCCGGCGCAGCTCAGGCTCACCTTTCTGCGGGATGGTGAGCTTGCAGGGCAGGGCCAGGGCCAGGATGGTGTGCTGGCACACAAAGGCGGAGAGGCTCCCTGCAAGGAGTCGGGCAGCCCTGCGTCAGCCACTGGGGCGTCCCTTGCCCACCCTCACCGCTCAGAAGGGGTGCCCACACACCAAAGTAGGGCTCCTCCTCAGCTCCTTTGAGATGCACCCCTTTGGCGGAAGACTCGATGAGGAAGTGCCGGATGACGTCACTACTGTCCTCGCCTGGACCCAGAAGGAGGGAAGAGTGGACGAGGAGTTAGACAGACATGGACCCCTTCACTCTCTGACTCCCTTCCTTGGGGGGTGATCCTGAGGTGATTACGTCCCTCCCCCTGCCTCTGAGTGGGACTACAGATGGGAATCCTATCTTCAAGGCCTTCCACAAAGCCACCGCTTTGCTCAAAGGCTTCTGGATCCAAAGCATCTTCCGTCTGGAGACCTTGCTCTTAGGCTCAAGAGCTACCACTACAATGGTCTAAGAGTATCGGGTCCTGATTACACTTTCCATCCACTTGTACCTCTTTGCTCTCATCGCTCTCTCCTTCGACCCACTTAATCCCGGGCTTCCTCGTGCAATGCCAGCTCTTTCTGCTGGAGCCAGGCTGGTCCCTGGGACTGGAGCCGTGCCCGGCTGGCTCCCCGTGCCCGGCTGGCTCCCTCTTCCCCAGCGCCTAGCTTCCTCCTTGTGGAGCTCAGTGCTTAATAACCAACCTGCCTCGGAGGTTATTTTCCCCTGAGACCGAGAGGCAGTCAGAACCTGGGATGGGGCTTTCTGTCTTTACCATCACCTGCTGCTCTGGGAGTTCATGAACTGTGTTTGGGGACTCAGTTACCTCATCGGTCAAGTGGGAGGCACAGTCTTTGGGGGTTTAAGCGAGGGACTATATTACCCAGGTATCTTGTACAGCAATTATGTGTTACCCTGAGGGGGCTGCACAAAGTTTGTGGAAAAAAGGAATGAAAAGAGAATAGTCTCGCCCCAGGAACTTTTAGAAGCGTCCTCGTCTATCTCCCCAAAGTGGTGGGAATCCCCATTTGATTCTTTTCCGTATCCCTGGTGCCTGGTGCCTGGTGGACGTGCCATACATGTGTGTCCAGGCACCAAACGAATGTGCGGTCACAGGACAGACAGCACCTTCACATGATGCTACCGCCACATACATGATAAACTACCTCACACACGTGTCCATCTGTCATACAGGCATTGATAAGTCTATCACTTGCCAACCCACATTAACCCCAAACCATTGCCGATCAAGTCAGTGATGACTCACAGAGACCTTCTCGCTCACACACGATAAACTACATCACATGCGTGAGATCAGCTGTCACACACGTGTTATTACTTCACTAGGTCCCCCTCACAACAAGTCCCTTCTGGAGTGAGACAGGGACTCAAAAGAGAGCAGCCTGGGGTGGGACCTGGTCCTCCCTCCTCCTCTTCCAACCACACCGGTGGTCCACAGCAGGGTGTTAGGGGGACTTGGGAGGACAGAGGCAGCTTGGGGTGGTGGAGGGAGCTGCCCCCAGAACCTCCCTGCTACAGGGTCACTGGGAGAGCTCTGAGGTGGACCTACCACTGAGGAGTCACACTGGCCCCAGGCCACCCCGTGAGCTGGGGGCAGAGGTGGGTCTAGAACCCACTACATCCCATTGCCTTGGGGAGCCTTGGGTGAGCAGAGATGGGTGCATACCTGGTCGGGTCTGGGCAGATGCAGGGCCTTCTGGTACCTTCAAGGCAAGGCCGAAGGAGCCTTGGTAGGAACAACTGTCTCTCACGATGAATGTCCCCGGCTCCTCTTTGCTCAGCAGCTCGATTGCTGGAACAATCCTTACGTGAGAGGCAGAACCGCCCCACTACCTAAGCCAGGTGTCCTCATAGAATAGATGCTAAGGAATCACCCTGTGTTTGTGGGAAGTCCTTCCTATTGCTGCACTTCTTATTTCCTTGGGTCATCAGGCCAGCAGAACACCTCCCCTCCGGGACCCCCATCTCCCAGTCCCTTCTCTACCATGAGCCAGGCCCTGCCGGCCTGACACCGAGCACAAATCCCATTATCGGATTCCTGGTCACTTGTCTCCTGAAACACAGCACTTCCCTTTACCTTGCTCTCGGCTGAGGCTGGGCTTGAACCAGTACTTGGATGTATCCATCACAAACTTCATGGTGGGCTGCATGTCCCTGGAGGAACCTGGAGACAGACAGAGGGACTTGAAAGAGGGCCACCTGAAAAGGCCGGAATCCCTCCCTTCCTCTGCCTAGGCATCCCACCACCCACCTTCTCCACCCTGGCCCCATGAGATCTCGAAAGTGGCTACAAGAAGCACTGTCTAACAGGGTTTCAGGACTTGTTGCATCTAGGGCTTGCGTGCCAGGTCGTGAATGAGAAATGCCTTCTTAAATCTAGTGGTATCTGGTGGGGACTGAAATAAGGGAGCCTCAGACCTCACCATTGCTGCTGGAGTCCACCCTTCCCCTGCCCTTCATATTCCTAAGACTTCTTTATCAAGTATCTTCCATTTGGGACAAAAAAGGAAGAAAGATATGGTGAAGGGAAAGAAAACCGTAGATGTGGGCAGGAACTTGGAACCCAGGAGACTGGCTGTTTGACTTGACTCTGATCTGGGCCACTGGTTTCGGATCCTGAACAGCCCCCAACCCAACCCAACCGACACCAAGTTGGCTCTGATTCGTGGCGGCCTGTGTGTCTCAGAGTGGAACTCCAGCTGACCGCCAAACCTTCCCCTTTCTCCTGAGACACCCCACCTCCAATCTCACTGCCATTGAGTTGATGCTGCCTCATAGTGACCCTATAGGGCAGGGCAGAATTGCCCCTGTGGGTTTCTGAGACTAACTCTACCCCCCCCTCACCCCCATCACTGAGATTAACTCTTGACGGGAGTAGAAAGCCCTGTCTTTCTCCTGCAGAGCAGCTGGTGGTTTTGAACTGCTGACCTCGTGGTTGGCAGCCCAACGTAAGCACGACACCACTAGGGCTCTTAGAGATGCCCACCCACCGTTCCTGGGTCTGGAAGGCCAAGAGCAGTGGGGCTCAGTTTTGGCATCTTGACAAGGTGTACTCTTCCTGGATGTCTGTAGTCGCAGACTCTGGGAAGGAGGGTGCTTGTTGTTCTGTGATTTTAACTGTCAGGAGTGCAGTGTGCATTGTCCCCGGAGCCCGTCCGCCCCCGTTGGCAATCTCGTCATCTGTGCTGACTCTCCCTCTCCCTGGTGAGTCATCGAGCCGCTGCTTCTGCACCCCGCACGTCTCCTGGCTCCATCTTCTCCCCCCACCCCCACTGCCCGGCCCTGGTTCAGGCCCTCATTATGGCTCACTTGGATCTCTTCATGATCAAAAGACGAACACAATTAAAACTGCCCTTCCTGCCCGGGCCCCTGCCATCCATCTGCTCCACAGCTGCCGGAGGGCTCTAGTGAACACACACGTCCAACCCCACCAGGCCCTGCCTGGCCTGAGACTTTCCATCGCCCGAAGGGCAAACTTTCCTCTTCAGATTGGCGGCCAAGGCCTTTCACAATATGGCCCCAGGTCCCTGGGCTGGTGTCACCCCACACCCAGGGCTGTAGTCATCTCTGAATGTGCCGTGCATTTCCACAGCCTCGTGACTGGGGATTCACTCTTCCCTCTGTACAGAGGGCTCTCCCTCCCTTCCGGCCCCAAGCCCCGCCCCACTCTCCAGTTCCAGCTCAGAAGGGGATCCATCTCCTTCCAAAGACTCACTGGAAGACCCCTGGAGACCTAGGATATCCCAGGATATCTCTTTACCGCGGTGCTTGTTCAATTCCACCGGGAGGACTGGGTTTTTGTGTGTTTTCCTAGACTCTGTCCATCTGTGTGTCCCCACTTCCTGGCATAGCTACACACACAGCAGAGACTCAGGACCCCCACTGGGCTTTGTCTCTTCCCCTCACCTAAGCCTTATGATGCTTGAGGTATTGGTTTCCAACGTACCTTCCAGGGTTGTGGAGAGAGAGACATCTGGCAGGGTCTGGCTAGGGCTCTCAGCAGCTGGGCAGGGGTGGTTGGAAAAAGCAGCCCCGGGTCGCACAGAGCTCTGGGGTCCTGGGGGTGTCCGCTGGGTTGGGGGAGACCCTGGTTCTGGGCAGCCGTTGATCAGCACGATGGGTATGTCCACCATGGAGTTGGTGATGGATGGTGGGCAGCTGCTGGCATGCTGCTTGGCCAGTGATGGGGAGTGGGTTGCCCTGGGCTGGCCCACACTTGGGGTGGGGTTACCGGGGAGGTGGAAGTCGCTGGGTCTCGCACACAGGGATGCTGGGCCAAGGTTGTGTAGGCTAGAGGAGGAACTGGCTGGGCTTTCCGAGGATCGACAAGAGGACTGATGACTGGCAATGCTGGAGTGGAGGAGGGACTGAGTGCTGCAGGAGGAGAGAGCCCCAGAGAAGGTGTTAGTGCATCAGGGATGGACCTACATTTCAGGGCCGGAGCCAAGCTCTAGAACCTGGCGAGCTGGGTGCCCACAAAACCACACTGCCCCCAGCCCCCCAAACACAAACAAACAAAACATACTGCCATCGAGTGGCCTCTAATGCATGGCCTTGGATCAATAGAAAACTACCTTCCCATTCCCCAGAGTGCTGAGCAGAGGCTTCCCCTTTGATCGCCAAGGATGCTGAAGGACACAGGAAAGTCCCTGGGCAGTAGGGTCTCAGTTTGTTAAGTCAGTGGGCGCATCTCTTTGGGCCAGGGGGGCTTGTCTGAGAGGATCCCTTCTGCTTTCCCAACCAGGCAGATCTGATACAGCAGGCCTCTGGTTCTTCCCTGGTTATATCCTCCCCCACCCCCCAATCCCCTGCACCCTCACGCGCCTGTAGTCAGGCTGGACTTGAACCTAGGCAGGACCTGGACCTATGCTGGACCATGTCCATAGCTGCCGCAGCAGGAATTCTCCATCTCGAGGCGGCCAGCTCCTGTACCCAGTAAGACCATTCCCTGAGCCCAGAGGCCGTGCCAACGGGCATGGCAGGGGAGTCACCAGCCACCTTGCCAGGGACGGCCTTGGCACAGCAGCTCTGGGATTGATTTTGGGGGCAGAGGTCGTGATTTGGTCTTCTGGGGCAGGGTGGCGTGGGTGCGTGACTCCTCTGTGAGGCTTGTAGAGAACTGAGCAGGGCCAGTTGTAACTGAAGCTAAAGCGGGCCCTCCTTTCCACTGCTATTCTCCCAGCAGCCAAGGGGAAGGAGGCTGCTTTGTTCATTCCTAAATGGGCCTTCTCAGGCCCTAGCATTCCATTGACTTCCAGTGTCTCGAGATATTAAAAAAAAAATCCAAACCATCAACCCTCCTTGAGATGGTGGTTATGGGCTGGGGAGGGTACAGGTGAACCTCATTAAAGCAAAGCAATAATTTATAATTTATCAAGGGGTCATGAGGGTGGGAGGAGGGGAAGGGGAGATGATACCAAGGGCTCAAATAGAGAGTAAATGTTAAGAAAATGATAATGGCAACCTATGTACAAATATGCTTGATACAATGGATGTATGGAATGTTATAAGAGCTGTCAGAGCCCCAAATAAAGTGATCTTAAAATAAATAAAAAAATAGAAATAAGCAAAACGAACAGTTTAAAAAAATGAATGAAAAAAGCAGTCTCAATAAATAAAAGAAACAAAACAAAACAAAAAAAGAATATAAAGAAAAAAAAAAAAAAAAGGAAAAGGTGGATGGAA